CGTGTGGGATCGGTGAGGTCTGGTCACTCAGAGCTTGCTGATTGGTGCTCCAGGCGGGCGGGCCTGCTGGAGCAGGCACTGGCCAACGCTCAGCTGTTTGGGGAGGACGAGGTAGAGGTGCTGAACTGGCTGGCGGAGGTGGCTCAGAGACTGGCTCAGGTCTCTGTACAGAGCTATCGGCCCCAGGTGCTGGCCGAGCAGCACAAACACACTCTGGTACGACTTGATGAACACACGCTGAGTGTCACTAGAAGCGCTTCATCTCCTCAAAACTCAAGAACTTAGTAACTCTGTCTCTGAGAGAGCTGCACAAATATAAGATCCCTTCAGTAAGATAACAGTTTGTGTCATGGGCGTTAAACACTTTCAGTTACACATTTTCCAAAATCACAACAATTTATACTATAAAAAAATATGAATATTAAAAGTGGACCTATTATGTTTATGCTTCCAGCTCCACATGTTTATTATTGGACTCTGCCAGAGTAGCTTTGTGTAATTGACAGTTTAAAATAATCTTTATTTATCCCGTACTGAGCCCTGGTGTAGCCCCTCAGTTCATCCGCTATAAAAGACCTCATATCCACTCCTCTCCCTTTAAGCCACGTTGCATCTTACTCGCTGCCCCTCACAAACAAAAGGTTTCAAGCAGGCGGGTCGGGTGAATAGTAGTGTTCACATGTGACGATGTTAAGGACAGTCTCACTCTGACTGTCTGAAATGGAGCGTTTAGAGCTTAAGTGGGTCAGACCAGTGCAGCTGCCCTTCTATCAGTGTCAAAACATTTAATTAAACATTTAATTATTTTAATTTCATTTCATGTTTATCCATTATTTACCTACTTTGGTGTAGTGTCAATGAGGAAAAGCTGCAAAACCTATGAAAATAAAGTAAAAAGTTTAAAATTGATTAACTACTTCATGTTTTCCAGTTTTTGAGCCGATTCTGGCCCCTGAGCCTTATGTTTGACACCCCTGGTTTAGAGTTTGAAGGACTACATTGACCTCTTAGGTCATTTATAATATGAGCGTCCATCACTGTAACAGTACATATATGACAGATCCTAACCATAATAGGTCTCCTTTAAGGACCGAGAAGCCTGAACCAGAGCTAAACCCATTTAAATCAAGTGTAATAAACATTATAAACAGAGTTTCAGTGAGTATAATAAAACTTGGATGCTGTTTTATTTCTTACATTTTTCCAGTAAGTCTTTGGCTGCAAAAATAAAACAGTTAGTGTTCATTTTCACTCCTTTTATTCCCTCAGGCTCTGAATGAAGAGATCTTGAGCAGGAAGAAAACCGTGGACCAGGCCATCAAGAATGGACAAGCTCTACTCAAACAGACCACAGGTGATCGCTCACGTCTTTGTGAATCTTCTCAGGAGTTTCTTCCTTTTTCGGCTTGTACTTAAAAGTGTTGGTCTGGTGTCGGGTTGTGCATTAAATCTGCCAAAGGATAAAGAAACTCTTAAATCAGTGTTTTTGGATGCAGAAAGTCCAGGCTTGGGGAGAGACTCGCATCCAAACCACATATTTTTTGATCAGCAGTGAACCAGACTGTAACATCTGGTTTTTGTTTATCTTGGTATATCTTGATATTAGCCATGCTGACTGCTTCCCCCTTTAGTGTGTTGATTTTTGGTCTACCCATGACTGCATTTTGTGTTTTTATTGTCATATTTAGGCCGTTAGACAAATGTTGTGGCCATAAAAGGAGCGCCAAGCTGTCAAACTGAGGATCCTGTGAGATTTTACAGAATATATCGATATTTTTTTTTCAGATTGAACAAGTTTGTGTGTCTCACTAAAGATTCTGCAGAGATAATATGCTCGGCTGGAATGAAGGAGATCATATTTTTATACACTCTGCACATGGTTTGTTGACGTATCCTGGTTGAACCCAGTTACCTGACCTCTGCGTCGTCCCGCAGGTGAGGAGGTCCTCCTGATCCAGGAGAAGCTCGACGGCATCAAGTCTCGCTACGCCGAGATGACGGCCGGCAGCAGTAAAGCCCTCCGTACCCTGGAGCAGGCCCTGCAGCTGTCCACGCGATTCGCCAGCGCCCACGACGACCTCAACCAGTGGCTGGACGGTGTGGAGACGGAGCTTAACACTGTTGAGCCCGACGCCTCACCCGCCTACCAGGAGAGACAAAAGGTGGGAGGAGTCGGGTGTAGTTACGATTCTTATTCTTTTAAAAACAGACTTTCAGATTTAAACGGCAGCATTTTTCTTTTTTGTTAATTGTGTTTTTATGGATGTTGTAAACTGTTTCCATTTAGCCAAAATAACACAAAAATAATCGTGTGCAAACATGAAGACCGCAGAAGGGATTAAAGGCAGCTTAACTGGATTTCTTAAGTTAAATATTTAGACACGATGATCTAATGTTTGTGCTCCAGTTTTTCACACGAGAATCACAGGTTCCTCGTGTATTTGTTCCTCTGCCAATAAGCGAGTGGGTCAAAAATTTGTGTTTGGAGTATCGCTGTAACACTGCATGCATCAGTTGCAGGCATTCTTATGTGCACACTGATTTTCAGTTTCTCCAGAATCTGCTTTAAAACAGGCTACGATGAAGCATCGTCATCTTTTTTTACTACACGATCAGCTTTTGCGCTTTTTAGTAACCAGTGCGCTGCTCAGTCAACCACATTTTACAGCTTTTAAAGATCATTTTTTAACATTTTCATAATAAAGAAATTGTACAAAATGTCTGAAAAGCTCATTTAACTCCCGTCTATAATGACATTTTCAGCCTTTCCAATCTCAACCTACCCACAGCTGAGTTACCATAGAAACATTGATTTCTGGGAGCTCCATAACAGTTTGTAAAAGCTATTGAAAGGATTATTGCCATTTAATTTGTTCCAGTTTTTTCACTCTTCGGTGACATTTTCGGTGTTCTCATTTTGACTCAAGCAGCAGAAAAAAACAGATGATACACTCGATGCCATTTAGACAAGTTTATTTCAGCTTTACGTTGATGCATGTGGTCATATTAAAGAATTGAAATAGGAAATATTTCTGCTTTTTGGCAGATTGTGCTCTATGAAACTAAAAGTTTCACTGTTGCAGGAGTTGAAGAAAGTGTCAGCAGAGAAGCGTCTGGTGTTGGATACAGTGAACGAGGTGGGCAGCGCTCTGCTGGATTTAGTGCCTTGGCGAGCCCGGGAAGGCCTGGACCGCCTCGTCGCAGACGCCAACCAGCGCTACCGACAGTCTGATGAAACCATCACTCAGCGGGTTCAACTGGTACAAGCTGCCATCCAGAGGTCGCAGCAGGTACTGCAAGTAGTTTAATAAGTCTAAATTTTCATTCTATTTTTTACTTTGATTGGTTAAAATGGCTGAACGCTAACTCCTCCCTTCAGTATGAAGAGGCCGTGGATGCAGAGCTGGCCTGGGTTGGGGAGACGGAGCGCAAACTGGCATCTCTGGGGCCGCTGAGTCTGGAGCCTGACGTGACCGTGGCCCAACTGCAAGTGCAGAGGGCGTTCAACATTGACATCATCCGACACAAAGACACAGTAGATCAGCTCCTCAGCACCAGAGACGACATCTTAGAAGCATGCAGTGATGCTCAGAAGGATGCACTCATGGTAAGATGCTCTCAGACACAGTTCTGGGCGTACTGAGTGAACGGGAAGGAAAGTGAGAACCTTCAAGAAGTGCAACAGAAATAATCTCTTATATCTGAATCGTCATCCTCTTCCTCAGCTCAAGACGGGCTCTTTGAGCGCTCGTTATGATGCAGTGAGTCAGAGCCACAGCGAGCGGTTCTCAGCTCTGGAGCAGGCCCAGGTTCTTGTGGCTCGGTTCTGGGAAACCTACGAGGAACTGGAGCCGTGGCTGGGTGAAACTGAGACCCTCATCGCCCAGCTTCCACCACCAGCTATTGACACAGATGCTCTCCGGCTGCAGCAGGACCAGATGAGAGTAAGCGAAGACCTTGAATATCATAACCTGGCTGTGCTTTTCTGATTAAAATAAATGCTCACTATCCGTGTTTTTAATTTCCTCTCCAGCTGCTCAGGGAGTCCATAGCAGAACACAAGCCACACATCGACAAGCTGCTGAAAATCGGACCTCAGCTGGCCAAGCTCAGCCTGCAGGAGGGTGCGAGTGTGACGCAGCGCTACGCAGATGCCGAGAAACGGTACCAGGCCATCAAAGAGGAGGTCAAAGGTCGTGCTACAGTACTAGATGAGGCGGTGTCCCAGTCTGCACAGGTATGGAGGATAAACTAAATGTTTGGACATTTTTGCCTCAGCTGCAGACCTGGGTCTAATAATTTTAGTAAACTGTGCCAAATTTGTGTAGCTACACCAGTGTGGCCGTCAGCTCAGATAAAAGAAGTGCTTTTGAGCCCAGGTCTGTTTAGAGCTTTAATGCAGTGTCTGCAGCCCACAACTAAATGAGTACGTCTGACATGATAACAGCATGAGATGTATGCAAGTGTGTTTTTGTGTCTAATGCCTGCTCTACACTAGATGATACACGATTTGATGGAGATACATTTACTTACACGTGCAGTTAAAGCTACATTTTATTTTAGTCGTTTTCAGATTTCTTTGAATTTTCTTTTGTTGTTTAGCCAAAGTAGCCTCATGTAACTGTGTTTCATCATACGTTCATAGCAAAACATAATTTTTTTGTGCCATATTTCATCTTCTTATCAAGTAATCTTCTTTACAGACATTTAACTTTTTCTTTGCATTTGATTTCACGAGACATCACTGAATCACGGGTGTTGCTGCCCTCGATGTATCAGTTTGTACCGTTTGCATGACTCTGATTTAACTCATTGCATTGTTTCTCCACCCTCTTCAAACCAATCCACATGTGGCTCCCCTCTCTCCCTCCACCCGCACTGTCCACCACTTTCTTCTCATCCCTCACTCCAAACAACACCTCCTCGTCTCTCCCTCTTTAATCCTTAACCTTATGTTCACCTCTCATCCTTGCAACCCCCATCCCTTCCTCCATCCCTTGTTCATTGTGGATGTGCTGTGCGTGTTGCCCCTCACCACCATTTTCTCCACGGTCACTGCTCACTGCAATCACCCAGCTGGTAGAGGTAAGACCCCTGACTGACATGAAACCGACACTCAGGGTGTGTTTGGGCCACATGATTGGATCAAATAACAAAAAATGAATCGATACTAAAGCAATAAAACTTTCACAAATCAAGTGCTAATCATTGGGCTTTCTTTTTATTTCACATTTGCAGGATGAAAGCTGTTATCGATTTTTTTAAAATAAATGATTAAAGTTCGGTATTGAAAGTAATCGTTTATTCACTGGAAAATTAACTTGAATTGATTTGTGTCAGCTACAGTTTTATTGATTGAAACATTCATAAGAATCATGTTGTTTCTCACCCTGAGTGACCAAAACATTGAATCAGATCGGTCCCTTTGGTTTATGATTGCAAGCTTGAATAAAGCGTCTACACCAGGCTTGATTCAAGTCCTAGAGGTCCTTCTGTATCACGTAGCGCTCTCCTCGTGGTTAGATGAGATTTGTTTTGTCATAATCAAGCAGTTTGATTTCCCTCTAGAAAGATTATCCTCTTAGGAATTGAACCACGAGTTCTTTCTTCTGTAACACGTCTGCTACATTTATAGTTCCCTTTTGTGTGGTAGGTTTGAGTCCCGCGTTGTCATAGTTACATAACCTGGCTGGCTTGTTGAAAGTGAAGAAGCGATATTTTATTAAATTTTCTCTTGAAATCTGAAATTAAATTACAATAAAAATTATAATTAAAAAAAAGTTTGTGCGGTCTGCCACAGATGGCTGCCCACCTACGCGATATCTCAGTATTTTCCCGCTTTCAACATGTCGCCCAGCTATCGAACTCTATCAAATTCTCTCCTCCGTCAAAACGTCCTCTTACACGTCTCCTTCTGCCCTCAGTTTCACGACAAGATGGACCCGCTGTTGGAGACTCTGGAGGGGGCGGTGCAGCGGCTTCGGCAGCCTCCCCCCGTGGCTGCAGAGGTGGAGAAGATCAGGGAGCAGCTGGCAGAGCACCGAGCCCAGGGACTGGAGCTGGACAAACTGCTGCCAAGCTTCTCCGCCCTCTGCGCCCGCGGCGAGGAGCTCATCAGCCGAGCGGCTCATGACGACCCTGCTGCTCAGGGTGAGTGACTCGAGGGTGAAGCTGTCTGTCAGTGACAGCTTCACAATGTGTAGACATAAAAGAAGCAGGCAGGTCACAAAGTTGTATTTGTCGCATATTGTGCATCCAGCGATGAGGGGCTGGATTAACTGATCTCATGACATCTTGTTTATGGAGGACTAAAACTGCCGAAATCATAAATAAACGATCAATTCACACACAAATTATATTTTTTTATAGATAGATAGATATAGATATATGATATGAATTGAATTGAATAAATAAAAAGTTTTTTATAGAGAGAGGGAGAGAGAGAGAGATCTGTATATGATTTGAATTGAATAAATAAAAAGACTGAAATGTAATTTAATTAATTCAGAAAAAATGATCAGTTTGACATTTTAGAAATCAACAAATGCCTATATTTTAATTCAATTATAATTGCATTATTAAGGATTTAATGTCATATTAATGATTATACTGAATTAGTCATTTAGTTTTAATTTGGCAGTGTCAGTCCTCCGTATGACTGGCTACAAACTGAACAGTGCAGCTCTGAAACCTTTTACTGGAAATGGAAAATTCAGGCTCTGACTGGAACAAAACATTTCCCTGTCTAAGAGTACAGGGCATCAAAATTCGGAGTGGTTCAGAATAAAGAGGCTTCTGTAACCTTTGTAAAAACCATTACAATCTTATTGTGGGCTCCAGTCCAGTAAGTTCACTAGCTGAAGAGAGTGGGTCTCTAATTGTCACCAGGTCAGTTCGCAAATCTTAAAAAGAAAAGGAAAAGAGGAGAACCAGCAGTAAGTTCTGCTCAGCACATTGTGAGACAGAACACACACATCTTTGTTGTGTTGGCCTTTCTGCTTTGATGCCCTGCAGCCCTCCTCAACATGAAAGGCCTCACTGTGCACTGGTAGTGGGAGTGAATAGACCAAACATACCAGTGCAGTACATGAGATGTCAGGATCCAAACTAATATGACATATGAAACTGATACCAGACTGGATTGTGTGACCTAAGAAGTGTTTCCCAGTCTGACCAGCAGCGTTTTTGTATGAACCTCTTTAAAATGTCACTCCCCTCTTTTCCTGTTTTCATGCAGCTGTCCGTTCCCGCCTCCTCCGCCTGCGCTCTCTATGGGATGAGATCCGGCAGCGTGCTGAAGAGCGAGAGGGGAAACTCAATGATGTCTTGGACCTGGCTGGGAAATTCTGGGCCGACGTGGCGGCGCTACTGAGCACGCTCCGAGACTCCCAAGATATCGTGAAAGACCTGGAGGATCCCGGAGTGGACCCATCGCTCATCAAACAACAGATTGAGGCTGCTGAGGTATGGAGGAGGCAGAAACATGCTTTGTGAAGACAAAAGAGTTCATCAACAGCTGAAATGTTTGTTTTTGTCTTTGTCCTCCACATTTTTATGCTAAACGAGTCATTATGATGTCCCTCTGTGCATGTGCTAGGCCATCAAGGCGGAGACGGATGGCCTGAGGGAAGAGCTGGAGTTTGTCAGGACCCTCGGAGCTGACCTCATCTTCGCTTGTGGAGAAACTGAGAAGCCTGAAGTCAAGAAGACCATAGATGAGGTTAGAAATCACAATTTCCTCTGAGATTAATAAAGTATATCTGATTCTTAAACCAGGATCACGTTGTTGTGAAAAAGTGACCTTGTGATTTCCTTCTGAAACGTTTTACTAAACGGCGACTCTTTTTATCGCTCTCTCAGATGAATGCTGCTTGGGAGGGACTGAACCGAACATGGAGAGAGAGGATGGAGAGACTGGAGGAAGCCATGACTGCCTCAGTTCAGTATCAGGATGCACTGCAGGTTTGTGCCCTTTCTTGATAAAGCTGTATAGCAGTGCTACCATATAAAGTTCAGTTGTTTTTGTACCAGTTTAACTGTGGCGATCAGGACGTTCCCGTTGATTACTGTTGGAATAATTTCTGTGTAATTTTTCCAGTCCATGTTTGACTATCTGGACAACGCAGTGATCAAGCTGTGTGAAATGTCAACTGTGGGAACTGACCTGGGAACTGTCAAACAACAGATTGAGGAGCTTAAGGTTGGAATGATAGTTGGATTTTTCACTAGTTGTGTATAAAATCTAGATATCTTACAAACACTCTTTAAAGTCAGATGTATATCAGTGCCTAACAACAAGCTGTTCTCTGTCTTATTTCGCACCTCGCTCATTGCGCCTCCACTGACCTGAGCAGCAGTACAAGGTGGAGGTTTACCAGCAGCAGATTGACATGGAGAAGCTGAGCCACCAGGGGGAGCTGCTGTTAAAGAAAGTGTCAGACCAGACCGACAGAGACATGATCCAGGAGCCGTTGACCGAACTCCGACACCTGTGGGAAAACCTGGGGGATAAAATCACCCAACGACAGGTGATGAAAGCACATCTTAACATTTAAAATCTGAAATTTGTTCTTCGTCTCAGCTCTTCTGTTTCTCCCGAGGCAGCCGGTGATATTGTTCTTTTTGTTGGTATCCTGTAGAATTGCGTGTATTTGACTGTCTTTCTTCTACCACAGCACAAACTGGAGGCTGCCCTGCTGGCTCTGGGTCAGTTCCAGCATGCCTTGTCCGAGCTGCAGGCCTGGCTGACCCACACACACACCACTCTGGACACACAGCGACCCGTCAGCTCTGACCCCAAGGCCATCGAAATTGAGCTGGCTAAACACCATGTATGTCCTATTATTACCTGCAGGAAGTGTATCTCTGTAATCAGTTTTAACTTTCTGAAGAGCACTTATGCGTATATTTTTCCATCCCAGCATTCAAATCTTTCTTCCTCTTTCCTTCCCAGGTTTTACGCAATGATGTGCTGTCCCATCATGCTACAGTGGACACTGTGAACAACGCTGCCGCTGAGCTGCTGGAGTCCTCTCCTGGCGATGAGGCGGGCAACCTGAGGGATCAGCTCGATCAGCTCAACCAGAGCTGGGGGAGTCTACTGCTCAAAACCCAGGAGCGACAAAAACTGCTGGAGGCCGCCCTGCAGCAGGTACTGCAAAGAAGCAGAAAATTAGATCTGTGCTTGGTTTAGTTAGATTTAACTTGGCTGGTAATTAACAAAATATATATTTCATAGTGATTGTTTAGATTGTTTTTGAGCTAGATGTAGATCTTATATCATCTGAATGGTCGTGAAGTGTTGATTGTGATGCTCTGTCATTAATTTCATCATAATAGGTCTATTTGATTGTTTCATGACATGATTTTCAGTTTAGGTTCAACTTGTTCATGCTTGTTGGTGTCTCACTGGTGTCTTTGTAGGCTGAAGGTTTCCATGGGGAGTTGGAGGAGTTCCTCCAGTGGCTGAGGAGGACCGAGAGCCAGCTGTCTGCCGCCAAGCCAACAGGCGGTCTCCCTGAAACCGCCAGGGAGCAGTTACAGCAACACATGGTAACGTTACACCTTCATACTCACATCATCAGGGACAATACACAGGCACACGTCACAGCCCACAGTGGTTAGACACATTGGTGTTATAACTCTGAAAAACTGAAAAAAATACTTTATAGAATAAAAAATAAATAAACATTGAAGTACAGACTGGGATGTCTATGTGACGTGTTATCATGCTATCATGCTCAGATATTGAGATTGGGCCATAACATCCACGTCACTGTAATAAAAACCAAAGTGAAACTAGCTGAATTCGATCTGCCGCGTGACTGAATTGTTAGAATTTATCAACGTTGCCAATTTACACCGTTTACACTCTCTTGCATGTTTCTGAAGTGTTTTACGTCCCACATGTTGGAGTATTTTTGGTGCCTCTGTGAACAAAATAATTAACTGCTAAAAACATTCATGTGTAGAGGAAGCAGTTTAGGGTTTGTGTGACATTATGCACGTGTGCATTAGTTGTTGTTACTGCAGCTGAGGAATGCTTTCCTGTCGCAGGTCGCAAACGAATGTTGCAAAAAAGTCTTCTGCACATATCTAATTCAGTGTTAGGACAGGATTCTGTAACAGTGCCAGAGTGCTTTGACTCCAAATTTTGTGCAGCTGCAGAGTATCGACTTACAAACGCACTCTTCATTTCACACAGAGAGACACTTGGCATATGGAGGCTATAAAAGTTTAATAGCTTGTATTGTTCTACAAGCTGACCTTTTCATCATCTTCTGTTTGTGCTCTCGCTGTCTGCAGGAGCTCCAAGCCCAGGTGACTCAACGTGCAGAGCAGTACAATCGCCTGCTGGATCAGGGAGAGTCCATGCTGCTGGCTCGTGGAGGAGAAGAAGCAGGACCTGGTACCACCCAGACCCAGCAGAACCTGGCCATGCTGCAGAACAAGTGGGGCAGCCTCAACACCAAGATGGACGACCGCAGGGTAAATCTTTACGAATAAGCCTCTCTTTGTTTTGCTCATGTGTTCTGCAGCTCTTTCGTTAACTCTGAACTCTCGAAACTTTCCAGGCAAAACTGGACGAGGCCGTTTCTTTGGCCACGGGTTTTCAGACTTCTCTGCAGGACACCATCAACTGGCTGACCCAGGCTGAGCAGACCCTGAACATGGCCCAGCCCCCCAGCCTCATACTGGACACCGTCCTCTTCCAGATTGATGAGCACAAGGTAGCAACAATAAAAATACTTATGTTTTATGTCGCTTACTTTTCAGATCCTGTTTGTTTCTTGATATTGTCATGAACATGCTGTTTGCGTTGCGTGTAACTCTTTCCACCCTTTGTGTCTGTCCAGGTCTTTGTCAATGAGGTGAACACCCACAGAGAGCAGGTCCTGGCTCTGGAGAAGGCCGGCTCTCAACTTCGCTTTGCCAGCCTGAAGCAGGACGTGGTTCTGATCAAGAACCTGCTGCTCAGCGTCCAGGCCCGCTGGGACAAGCTGGTCCAGAGGTCACTGGACCGAGGCCGACACCTGGATGAGGCCCGCAAAAGAGCCAAACAGGTAGAAACAGGCTCTTTAAAGATGGTTTTGTTGCGGCTACATGAAGACTATTTAAACTTTTGTGTCAGTATGAGGATTGTTTCAGCGCTGTGGTTTTCTCTCTTATATTGACTTTGACTAAAACTTCAGAAAAAAGTGCATTAAAACAAGTTTTCATCAAATTGTTTTCTTTAGTTCCACGAGGCCTGGAGGAAGCTGACAGACTGGTTAGAAGAAGCCGAGAAAAGGCTGGACTCAGAGCTGGAGATCTCCAACGAGCCGGATAAGATCAAAGTACAGCTGACAAAGCACAAGGTACAAGAAGAAAAATGCATCATCAAATATTCAGTTTTCTGTACTGCTCCATTTCCTGCTACAGTCTTTTCTCTCCCATCATTTTTCCGCCTCTCCAGGAGTTTCAGAAAGCACTGGGATCAAAACAGCCCGTCTACGACACCACGGTGAGGTCGGGGAAGGCCATGAGGGACAAAGCTCAGCTGCCTGCAGACACGCAGAAGCTGGATAACCTTTTGGGAGAAGTTCGTGACAAATGGGACACCGTCTGCGGCAAGAGCGTGGAGAGGTAACGAGAAGATGAACACTGAAACTGGTGTGCTCGGCTTCACCAGACAGGTTTGCATTACTGTGAAAAATAAAATCTGTTGAGTAATAGCCGTCATCTTCTTTTCTCCATCAAGACAACACAAGCTGGAGGAGGCTCTGCTGTTCTCTGGTCAGTTTGCTGAAGCTCTTCAGGCTTTGGTGGACTGGCTGTACCGAGTGGAGCCTCAGCTAGCAGAAGACCAGCCCGTCCACGGGGACCTGGATTTGGTGTCCAACCTCATGGACTCGCATAAGGTGTGTATATTAGAACAAACAGAACTATACTGCTATGTGAACATGTGTGCTATGTTCACTCATGACTGGTAACTTTCCCACTTACAGGCTTTCCAAAAAGAACTGGGGAAGAGAACCAGCAGCGTTCAGGCTCTGAAGCGTTCGGCCCGTGACCTGATGGAGACCGGCCGCGATGACACAGCGTGGGTCAAAGTTCAGCTTCAGGAGCTCAGCAACCGCTGGGACACAGTCTGTGCCCTATCAGTCACCAAGCAGACGCGCCTGCAGCAGGCGCTCAAACAGGTCAGAAAGGCGGCTGCACAGCTGCTTTCACTGTCAAACTTTTCTCCACATTTTTCCGTAATCAGACAATCGCAGATCCATAAAAAAAGCTCTGTGTGCCTGTCAGGCGGAGGACTTTCGCACAGCGGTGCAGCTGCTCCTGGAGTGGCTCTCAGAGGCGGAGCAGACGCTTCGTTTCCGCGGCGTCCTCCCCGAAGAGGCAGAGACTCTGCAGGCGCTGCTCCACACACACCGGGACTTCATGGGCACAGTGGAGGAGAAGAGGACTGACGTGAACAAGGCTGCTGGCATGGGAGAGGGCATCCTGACCGTGTGTCACCCCGACTCCATCACCACCATCAAACACTGGATCACTATCATCAGGGCACGCTTCGAGGAGGTGACGAAGAAATGAATCAATATTTGTCACAAGTATTGCTTTGTTGTTGAGATTTCTGACTAATTAATAACCGTTTTCAATCTGCAGGTGCTGACTTGGGCTAAACAGCACGAGCAGCGGCTGGAAACGGCTCTGACCGAAGTGCTCAACAATGCCAACCTGCTGGAGGAGCTCCTGTCATGGCTACAGTGGGCTGAGACCACACTGGTCCAAAGAGACACTGAACCACTGCCTCAGGACATCCCACAACTCAAAAACCTCATCACAGAGCATCAGGTGAGTCCTTCAGTAGCCTCAGTGACTCATCAGTTGTTTGTCTTTTTACTAAACTCGCAGACGTAGTATTTTAATGTATTACACTCTAAGACCGACTATGTTTGGACACACATTTGAGTTACTGTCTGTTGCTGTTTGCTGTACTCAGATGTTTATGGAGGAGATGACGAGGAAGCAGCCGGATGTCGACAAAGTGACAAAAACCTACAAAAGAAAGCCAGCCGAGCCTCCCAGCAGCCTGGCGGAGAGGAGAGGCGCTCGTAAGTCTCCTGTGTTTACCTCTCAGCGAACAAATATTATCATCTCCCACGTCTGTTTCACACTGACGCTAGTGAATGTGGGCGAAAGGTGCAGGTGCCGTTTCGTTTAGCTTTACCTGTTCTCTGCAGGAAAACACCAGCAGCAGCAGCAGCAGCAGCAGCAGCAGGCGGCCATGCAGGTTTCTGGGGGAAACCCACGACTCAACCAGCTGTGTGCCAGGTGGCAGCAGGTGTGGCTGCTAGCTCTCGACCGGCAGCGCAAACTCAACGATGCTCTGGACAGGCTGGAGGAGGTACATTAAATTTGGTCAAGCAAAGCTACCCACACTCACTAAACATTAAACTTTATGTATTTTTTTTATTATTGTTGTTAATTAATTTTATTTGAAAAGGGACCGTGCAGAGCATTAACATAAATATTGCCATTAAATGCTTTGTAGCAGAGTTAGCTTAAGCTAATTTGCATCTGTTGTGTACTTTGAATCCTAATTAATGCCACTGTTGTCCATTTTCAGCTCAAGGAGTTTGCCAACTTTGACTTTGACGTGTGGAGGAAGAAGTACATGCGCTGGATGAACCACAAGAAGTCCCGCGTCATGGATTTCTTCAGACGCATCGACAAAGACCAGGATGGCAAGATCACACGGCAGGAGTTCATCGACGGCATCTTGGCCTCGAGTACGAAGCTGCAGTGGTTTTGTTTTGTGTTTATATTGTTGTTTTGTTTTATATTTCAAAGACGGTAAATATCATATCTAATATCCTCAGAATTTCCAACCAGTAAGCTGGAGATGACGGCCGTGGCAGACATCTTTGACAGGGATGGAGACGGTTACATAGACTACTACGAGTTTGTTGCTGCTCTGCACCCCAACAAGGATGCCTACAGGCCGACCACTGACGCCGACAAGATCGAGGATGAGGTAAGAGGGAGCTTAGAAAAACGTCTCGCTATAAATTTAGCTCAAAACATGTCAGTTATTGACGTCTTGTCTGGTCTGTGGTTGTGCAGGTGACGCGGCAGGTAGCCCAGTGTAAATGTGCCAAGAGGTTCCAGGTGGAGCAGATAGGCGAGAACAAATACCGGGTAAGTTCAGCTTTATTTATCGATCTACTGTTACAGATAAAATAAAGATTCAAAAAATAACTTTTGGAAAAAATATATTTTTAACAGGAATTGTTTTAAAAAACTGGGTCAAAGGGGATTTACTTTGATTGTGTAGCAGTATGCGACCTTTTGAGGTGCATATGAGGTCGAAGTAGTATAAACAAACACTCAGGTTCAAATTTACACCTAACACTAGAATCAGTGTGACAGCACCCAAAATCAATGTTTATTATTTTAAGTAATGTGAAACGAACGAGAAGGAAGTAGAAATCTAAGCATGACTGCTAAGATTTACCCGTGAATCCCATTTGACCCGGTTCTGATTGGTTCATTATTCATTACTGACTGTGACTGCACTTCATTAACTTCTCAACTTAACTTCACAGCATTTCACGCACGTGTGTCCATCTCACATCATGATAATCATGGTGTATTTAAGTGTTTACGCTGTCGCTGTCATAATATGTCATAACATCGATAGAACATGTTTATAACAACTGCGGGATGGCTGTCTTTTTCATCACAAAGCATTAATAATCCTGTAAATGCGACAGCACAGATACACACAGCAGGGTGGGAATTAGGAGCTGTAACTGAATTACTGTTGGACTGTAAAACCTGGTTCTCTGCAGGAAAAATGTGGAGTGAATCCAAAACTAGTAAACAGAGTTTTTTATGATGTCGTTCTAAATTTTATGTCACCGAAATACATTTTTGTTTAATTGTTGGGGATATTTAAATTATGGGTTGTGAGGAGTAAAGTTTATTCAGTGTCTGAGAACCGCTGATATGGACCCGGAGCCAAAGTGTTCTCCTGTATTTGTTTTTATGAACGCCATAAAGATGAAAGACTTTAAAGACTGTGCTGTGGGAGATCATTAGCTGTATTGTAATCATTTACCCTTTTGGAGGTAACAGCCAGTATTTTGGTACACCCAAGCATGCATGAATATTTTTTTATAAACCTTTACATGCATAGATCACCAGTAACCTGGTTAAAATCTGCCTTCTTATGTGGAAGATGTGTTTTCTTGGCATAAACACAGTGAAACCTTATTGAACCAAAAGCAAAAATACCTGTAAGAACTCAGTTTAAACAATAATTTCTTCTAGTTTCAGAAACTATGCTTGCTTGGCGTGAAACTAAAATAAAATCAAAATAGAGGAGTAGATGTGAACCTAACTGTACGGGTCACCAAAAAACTGGACCAACATGAACAGATTAAGTGAAAAATGACTGAATATATTTAATTTTAATCCAAAATCTAACTGCAGAGGAGGTGCCTTGTTACTGCACCTTTTAGGAAAATTCTCCGGACGTTGGTGTAGGGGTTAGCACTGGTTATTGATGAATTTAAATTGGCTGTAGTTATGAGGTAGATGAGGCGCTCTATGGTTAAATGTGGCTTGCAATATAAGCTGCTTGGTCAGTAAGACTAGAAAGTCATATAAATGTGAGTGCACTTGCATCATCTGTAGACTGAACTTCACACAACGTGGCAGACAGCAGCAGTCTGTGTGTGTCTGTGCAGCATTATACAGCAGACCTCAGCTCTGACCGTTTTCAGCAGCATTTCCTGGATCGGCCATCACTACCACTGCTACAGTTTGTGTCCACTCCATCATTACCCAGTGGGTAATGACATCCAGCGTCAGACTGCAGGACGCTGGGGATACTAATCGTCACAGTGTTTGTCTCTCTGCTCCTCTGTGTGTGTCTGGCTTCTCTTTTCTTCTCTGTCTTTGACTCCATCTCCTGTCTCGACTTCATCGTCACCCATTTTCACATCGCTGACGTAACTGCCGCACACGGCTTCTTTTTGCTTTCACCACTAATTGTGAGCCCAAGTTTGAGTTTTCCGAAAACACTGCACACAGATAAATGGTGTCCTTTCATACATCACAGATTCAAGTTGTCGGTATTTGTTGTTTCATTCTCTCTTTCTCTTCCCTTTGTCTTCCTCTGCTCCGTGTCTTCTGGATTTATTGTAGTTCTTCCTCGGAAACCAGGTAAAGTGACGTCCGCTGCTGCGAGTGGACGTGTGAAAGCTGCTTCCCCGTTCTCCACTGAAGGAGTGCACCGCTTCCTGTTTCCGTATACTTGAAGAAAATACCGTTATGATACAGTAAATCTGTATTTATTTAATTTTACGTTTTCAAGGAAGAAGCACTCCTTTGTGGCTTTGCAACGTGTAAGCGGGTTTCGCCGTCCGCTCGTGTTTCTGCTGTGATTTGTTTGGTGTTGAGAGTGACAAATTGCACAATGCGAAGCTGGCGACAGTGACATGGCTGAAGGGGTAATTAGTGGTTCGGTGATATATAGTGTGCTTGGGACTGAAGCTGGGAAACAAATCAAGCTGCTTGGAGAGAGATCCAGAAAATTCCTTCTGTGCTGGTATCGCTTGGAGGTCTGCTTCGCTGGGCGGTTTGAAAAACAATAACATGTTAGAAAACTTCAAAGACTGAATATAAATACATGACTGATTTATATTGTGTGTGACGATGCGTGGATATGAGTGGCTGGGTGAACTGGGCTGAGATCTGTAACTTCTGTCAGTGCATGGTTTTTCTGTCAGTGCATGGAGTAGAAACGATGCTCAGATTTGGTACTTGGGCTTCTTGGTGTGATGGTTGTAAATCTTTAGAAACCAAATAGTTGTTTTTACTCATTAATTTTTTTTCCCCTGATTCCCTCTTCTGTTCCCACTCTTTTTGGCCCTTCTTCCCTCCGTTTTTATGTCACCTGCCCCAGTTTGGAGACTCTCAGCAGCTGCGTTTGGTGAGGATTTTGCGCAGCACAGTGATGGTGAGAGTCGGAGGAGGTTGGATGGCTCTAGACGAGTTTCTGGTCAAGAACGATCCATGCAGAGGTGAGCAAAGTGGGCACACAAACAGATCAGCCTCCTCTCAAATATACACACACACACGAGCCTGACCGATACTGGATTATGTTGGGGCTTTTTTTAGGCATATCAGCACAATTTCAATTTGACACATGCATTTTTGATTGGAAAAAAGTAAAAAATAAATAATAAAAAGTAAATAATTGGCAGTGAAAAATAATTATATTGATTAGTGTATACACTGGAAATAATTCTGCCATATAGTAATTCTACATTTTCACCTCATTTAAACTTAAATTAGAACTGCTTTGTTTTCAGCATACATCTTATTCTTAGCTTTTATAATCAGAATTTGTTTTGGCAAACTTTTAAATTTATATGATTAACTTTCAGTTAGCACTCTACTAAACAACTTTTCATTATGTGTAGTGACGATTTTCAACATTTTATTTTTAGCTAAAACTTTTAATACACTAGCTATACTTTAGCTTTGTGGCTAAGAATTTTAACTGCAAATCGTGCTTTTAGCTAATAATTTTTAGAACTTTTTATTCCTGATTTTATTTAGAAACGTGTCAGTTATGATTAATACAATTTTTGATTCTTATATATTTTAAGCTAACTCAAACCATTAACTATAACTTTCAAGTTAGTAATTATTAACTTTTTAGCTTTAGCTAGCATTAGCATTAGTAAACTGTTAGCTCGTACGTTAAGCTGATATTTTCCAGCTTCTCATTCCTACTTAAATCTTTTTGTAACTGTTTATCGCTTAACAGTTAACTCCTAACCACATGTGTTAATTAGTTTTTTAATTTAATTCTTTTTCAAATGTTTATCTGTTATGTTTAAGCAACAGTTTAAACTTCCATTATGATTAGCTAACATTTTCCAACTTTATATTGATACTTTTATCTCTTTTAGTCATTTGTCTGTCAAGTTTAGTTGACAATTTATTTTATCTCATGATTCTAACTGCTTTTATATATTTTTTATATATATTTTTTTCATTTTTTAAAAACTTTTTTTTATTATTACTAAGTATCAGTTCTTTTTAGTTTAGCTTTAGTTGTAGGCTTTATGTCTGAAAAGGATCTTTAAAAAAGCCTCATCATTAAAACTTGAAGCCATTTATGGGGACTAAGATGCTTTTTTTAAATGAATGGGGCACCATCTTGAGAAAAAAATATCCAGTGGTATATATCGGTCAGGCACAAGCACTTAAGACACCATCACACCAAAGCAAACAAACCCTCAAAGATGTTTCTCAACATGTTTACAACGCCGAACACAAGCGGCTGAACGCAAACGGAGACAAAACACGAAATAAAGGACAAAACACACAAACCGACTCAAGTTTCTTTAGTTTTTCTGTCAGCAGGTGATGCAGTGAAGCGCACCGTCTCATTTTTCTATCCAGTGTTTTCTTCCAGTGACGTCGGTGTAATTGTTGTGCTCCTCGGAGTGGTGTTTCTCTCTCTCTGTGTCTCCACCTCTCTTCCCCAATCTGTCATTTCCCTCCGAGCCCATCCTCTGTCGATCCCAAAGGACTCCATCTTCATCATCATCTTATCTCGTCACATGTTTTATTTCTGTATACACACACGTCCTCTCCTCGGCCTCTCTCTGTTCATTCTTTCTTAAATAAAATACGTAGTGTTGCATGGTGCATGATCCTCAGTTTCTCTTTATTCCCTTTCTTTTTTTTCCCCTCTCTCCCTTTTTTCTCTTTTCTCAGTGCAACATCCAGGAATAAAGATTCTCCGCTCCGATTCGAGTAGCTCCATCTCATCTCGTATAGGTTGGATTTCTCCTCTCTCTCTCACGCTTTCTCTTAGCTGCCTGTATTTCCTCCGTCTGGTTTGGTTTTGATTGTTTTTTTGTGTTCCCCTGGGCTTCCACCTTTCTTTTTTTCTCTTCTTCTTCATTCTTTTTTTTTATCGTTCTCCCCTTTCTCTTCTTCTTCCTTGGTTTCGTGGTTTGGCCTTGTTGCTGTGCCTTGCTGACTGTGATCACCTGACTAACATTATGTCTCCCCACTGTTCCTCCCCTACTGTTGCTGCTGACTCCAGCCCTGAAACCCTGATCTGTTCCCTTTTTCCAACACCTTTCAGGGGTCTCCGACACTCGTCCGGACCCCAAGAGTTCAGCTGTGTGTGTGTTTGTGTGTGTTTAGGGCTCGTGTGTATCTAAAGCTGTTTTTTAACAGATTAGTTAAACAGTCTTAGGATTGTGTGTGTGTGTGTGAGAGAGAGACTTTCTTCATTCCACTTCCAGCATGCAGTTATTTCACGTTGTCTCTTGTGTCTCTTAGTGACAGTCACTCCTGGCTATTTCTGCTGCCGAGGTATCTACACTTCCTCTCTGTCTCTCACTCACCATCCATCCATCCATTCGTCTCCATCTTTAACCACAGCTGTCCTCTGTGTGTGTCTATATATGTGTGTGTACATGTGTGTGTGTGTGTGTGTGTGTGTGCTCTTTATAACCGTGGTCAGGTTTGTGCGTTGAAGGCATTCATGTCAGTCCCGTCTGTGTGGCACATGTTTGCGTCATGCTTCCCTCACTCACAGTAAAAAGCAGGATTTGGCCAACCCCCTGGTCTTTAGATGTAACTCGAGGTTTGCTGATTTTTACAAAGTAAATCCGTAAATAAGATATTATTGAGACAAGAAGAGAGCGTGTGTAAAACTAAATGAATAAACACAGAAAAAAAATACAGCGGTCACTATGAGTACTAAGTAAAGACAGAGCTGCTCTTTTGTCTGCTTCGTAGAGAAGAACGTAAAAACTCTTGATTTGTAGGAGAAAAATATTGGACTTAGACCTGGGCGTGGCCAGCCTGGGTTTCTAATAACGCTGGCTCCTTTAAATGTGATGGCTGGTTGGTAGGAGACACAATTACAGGGTGCACCTGGCTGGCTGGCTTTGAGGGGGACATAATTACAGGGTGCACCCGTTTAATTGACTGGCCTTGCTATTCAGTTGCTCGGGACGAGCTAGCTGCAGCCCTCCTCTCCTCCTTCTTCTTTTTAAGATTTTTTTCCACTCTTTTCTTTCACTCCATTTCTCCTCCACTCTGAATCTGTGTCTTCTCTCCCTCTCTCTTTCTTTCTGTATTTATTTGTTCTCTCTCTCTCCACTCTCTCTTTTTGTGGCTGGCTTCTCCAGGCTTGCTGTTGTCTGCTGGGGCTGCTGCACCACTTTTTGTCCAAGAATGCCGCTGAGTGTTTTTTGAAGACGGGAGAAACCCTGAATCTCTGGGTTCTCTCCTGCTAAGCATAAACCAGGCATGACCCCCACATGTATTTATACACAATCTGTGTGTATACAGCAGAGCTGAGATGCTCCTTTGCAGCAAGAAGTGAAAAACTACTTGAGATCTTGTTGACAAAACAGCATAAGAGCAGCTGCACTTTGCTTCCAGCGCGCTCAGACGATTTTAAGCAGATACGCAACGAAAGTGTGGCACTCAGTCACAGTTTGCAGATTATGAGAGCAGAGACACGTGCTGTTGCTTAAGGAGTTATTTAAGGAGGAGTCTTTCACTTTCATATGTGATCTATAGAATAGTCGATCAGCCTTATTTCTCTGTTTACAGCATCAGGAAGCAGCGAGTGGGCTGCTGTCAGTACCTGTAAAGTTTGCTCATACAGGTGTTACGAAGCATGCATGGAGGCCTGCTTCTTAGCCACACAATTAAACTACCTGTTTATTCAGTTTATTTTTTTGGCATAAACATTATATTTCCAACAATATTGATAGTTTCCCTTTATTTCATAAATGATGTATCAAACTGATTTGCAACGTGGCCCCCTGCTGGGTGAGAACAGTACTGCAGGTGGGCCTCAAGAAGTTATTTACAATAAAGGAAAATAAGTTTGAAATAACCACCAAGTTTTATAGTCTTTCTCTGAAGCAATGGCATTGTGTCTCCGAACTCGTGTCCACCAGTGTCGATGACTAGCTGACTTTCGTTGCGTATCGCAGTAATTAATTTGCTCCCACCTTTGCACTCAAACAAAACACGCCCCTCGCTCGCCTCCCACCTTAAAAATGACTCAACCGAAGTGCACTTAACAGTCCCTCAGTCCCCGAAACCCCACCCGACCAAACACCTGCTCTGCTCACGCGCACTCTCAAAGAAACACGCACCGACTCTGACGTCTGCAGCCAAGGAAGCACTGACTTTCTCCCTCACTCTGCTCGCTCCCTCTGCCGCCCCCTGCTGGAGGAAACCTCCGAGCCGACTCGAACCCAGACTCATTGTTCCCTTCCCTGTCCGTCTCTTTATGTCCAGCTCGAGGTCGCACCAACCTGGAGCTAAGGGAGAAGTTCATCCTTCCTGAAGGAGCGTCTCAGGGTCTGGCCGCCTTCCGGTCCCGGGGCCGTCGCTCCAAGCCGGGCTCTAGGAACGCCTCGCCCACCCGCTCCTCTTCCTCGGCCTCCCACAGCGGGGCTTCCCTCCCCTCTGCTCCCTCTGCCCCGGCCACCCCGACGGCCTCTGCATCATCCAGGGTAAGGTTTTTCCCTCGAGTCATTACACAGCATTAATGACAGAGCAGGGATATAAGCACTGAGTAATAAACATTTACAGTAAATTTTGAACTAATAGTGGTTTAAAAGTTGGTTTTGTACCACTAAGTAATATTCAAAATACTAGAAAATATGGTTAAACACACATCTGATACTATCATAGGAAATGAAACTTCTTATTACTTGATCAAGTTATCTACCCAAAACATTAAAAGCCTTGAATCCCACTGCACAGGCTGAAATGTGCTTGTTACTTAAAAGCAAACATTCTGCATGAAGTGTAGAAGTGCCCTCGACCTAAAGATATAAAAGATGGCCTTGGCAGTATGAAGTTAGTTTTCAGACGTAATAAACGTAGCGTTGATCTTACTGAGAAATCAGGGAACACTGTCAGACACGCCTTAAAGCATGCCCTACTTTAACCACCTGTTTTATTCTGGTTAGGGAATGTCAAGAAAAACAAAAGTAATTTTTGCTATATATTACTTAATAACTTTGGTGTAATATGAAAGGGGGAGCTCTTTGTCAGCAGGAAAGTCCAAAATTTATGCTTTTAAATTTTCCAGAGCTGGCTGGTCGGCCTTTCCAAGGAGTCTCCCCCTAGAGCAGGGGTGGGGAACTCCAGGCCTCAAGGGCTGTGTCCTCCAGGTTTTAAATATCCGCCTGTGTCAACTCACCTGAATCAAATGATTAGTTCATTATCGGCTCTGGAGAACTTCAAGACATGTTGAGGAGGTATTTTAAATCAGCTGTGTTCAAGCTGTGATCAAGGACGCATCTAAAACCTGCAGGACACTGGAGTTATTTACCCTTCCCTAGAGACATGGTTGCATGTTTTTACACCGCCAGAGCACCTCAGCCTCTTACAGTCTATATCTGGAAAAAATTAGAAATGCTCAGGTACCAGGATTTGAAAAAGGGGGAAAAAATGCAAAGACTTGTAAAAAAGGATGTTATCTTAAACTGGTGTAATATTCCTTTACTGGAAGATGGAAAACACGT